TGCTACAAAATGCGATGTATACCCACCTGTAGTAATCGACTCCGATATTATATTGCAGATAGTAATCTCATCTAGTAAAAGAGGGCGGGTCACCTTATACGCAGCATACCGGTACTTTTTTATTTATCTATTTTACATGGGAAATGCCTAAGCATACCCGCCTCGCGGGGCCAGGAACTTGTTATGTCGGACTCGCACTGAAGAAAACCCTATGGCATTTCACCTTCGCTGTTTACAGATACTAGACTGCTACTTTCGAACTTTTTCTTCGTGTTAATTTCCGGTTCAATAGTCCATTGTCACTTCATTTTAATGATCCATTAGACGATGACTCCGGTTCTTCTCCCATTTTTTGTGCCACGGTTTCGTTTACATTGATATTAACATAAAATTTCAAAATTTTATTTTTAATTGCTGAAAATAGGCCTACATAGTCATATATACTTGGCAAATCTGAATTATTTGAGAAAGAAAATGTGATAAATTTCCTGAAAGTGAGTTTGACTCTTATCTTTTATATATTATTACACATCACGGACGATATTCTTACCGCCGCTGATAATGGACAATGTACCATTCTAGTGCTACATGATTTTTCTCGAGCTTTCGACTGCATTAATATACCACTTTTACTGGCAAAATTAAAAATCTTTGGTTTTTCCGAAACGGCATGTACATGGTTTCACTCATACTTCTACGGGCGGAGTCAAAAAGTAAAATGCACCAATACGGAAGGTAATATTGATATTTCGGAGCCCCTATCAATTTCTAAAGGCGTTATTCAAGGTTCCATTCTTGGCCCAACACTCTTCGCCTTATACACAACAGACATAAAAAAACAGACAAAAAAAAAGTTCAGCACTCCAAATATCACCTTTATGCCGATGATACTCAATTATACGTCCATATGTCACCAACAAAAGACAATATTACAACAGCGGTTACCAGCTTAAATAATCATCTAAAATTAATAGAGTATTGGTCAGTCTCATGGCTTGCTTCAGAATCCCAAAAAAAGTACATGTATAATTATGGGTACACGTCATCAGGTTGCATCTATCAAAAAAATTGACCCAACTGTCATGATCAATGACGCAACCATTCCTAGAAATAATTGCATTCGTAACTTGGGCCTTAATATGGATGAAGGTTTAACGTTTGTACAACACGTACAAAACAAAAATAGGAAAGTGTCTTTAAAATCTCTTTACAAAATTCGTTCTTTTCTGAAACCAAACATCCGGCTCCGTCTTTGTAATAGTCTTGTCTTATCACATTTGCATTTTTGCGACTTGGTATTTGGTCCTTGCCTCTCACAGAAAACCATAGGGAGAATACAAAGAGTTCAAACTATTGTTTTGACATACCTAGGACAAAACACATAACTCCTTATCTCCTCAATAATAATATTTTAAGTATGAGTTAAACTAGAAAATTAAAATATGCTTGTTTCGTACACTCATTAAATAATTCGCAATGTCCTCATTATTTATATGAAAAATTATCTCCAAAATGTCGACTAACACGTTTGAGACGAAGGGGTAAACTATTATATATACTTCCAACTTATAAGCGTGTTAAAGCAAAAGGATGTTTCAAATATCCTCCAAAATTTGGAACAATATACCTCCTCCTTTGCTAGGAGATCGTAAATACAAATTTATTTAGAAAGAAATGTAAAGTATGGTTACTTGAACAACAAAAGTTGGAGGCAGGTATGAAGTATTATATATAACTACAGACTTAATTCTTACTAATACCATTGAGAGTCGTTGAAGTTTCTGGTAGGGCCAGAGGCGATTGTCTCCTTTACCTACTACTTACTAAATTTGCATAGCACATATGAATAAACATTTTAGTCTATTCTTTAGTTGTATTACGTCAATGCCAAAATTAGGTTAATATACTGTGTTTTTTAAAACAGTCGGCTGTGGCAAAATACCAGCGGTGACCTAAAATCACCACATAGCTGAGTCAAAGGCCAGTTTGTCTCATTACTATTATGTTACTTAAGTATGTTTCTAAGTTAAGTTTGTTATGATTTTTATTTGTATTTTTTAATAACACGTGTAAACTGAGACAAACAAAAAGCTTATTATTATTATGTGGGGTATCTATATAGTTTTCTCATCTGGTTGGGATGTATAAATATATAATTATAAATGAAAATGAAAATATAAATATACATAAATATCAATAACATAAAATAAATATAAAAGTACATAAATAAATAAAAGCCCAACCAGATGGAGGCCCTCGGCAGGGGAGACCAAACGGCCGAGGGTTAGGGGGAAAGGGAAAGAAACCGGCGGACAGTGCGGGCGGTATTGAGGAGCACCGCCTTTTGCATTTGAGCCTGGAGCGGTCCGCCACGTAGTCCCAGCCGCCTCAGATGACCCGAGAGGCTAACTGGGATTAGCCCATTCGCAGAGACGACTACAGGAATAATTTCGGTCGGCAGACCACCCCACATGTCGGTCACCTCGTGAGCCAGGTCCAGATATTTTGTTTGCTTATCTGTTTCGGCTTTCACAAGGTTCTCGTCATACGGAACGATAATGTCGACCAAAAATATCCTTGACTGTGCCCGGTCCATCAGCACAATATCAGGCTTATTCGCAAGAATAGTCCTGTCTGTGATGATGGCCGTCCCAATAGATCCTGGCGCGATCATTTTCGAGCACGGCTTCCGGCAAGTACTTGTAATACGGCAATTTCCGATCCACGAGACCGTATTTCAGAGCGAGCTCCTGGTGTAGAATTCTGGCTACTAGGTTGTGCCTCTGCAAGTACTCAGAGTTAGAAAGCGCCGAACAACCGGAGATAACATGCCTAAGTGACTCGCCGGGATGGCGACAAGCTCGACAGATGTCGACGGTGCCATCCTTTAGGATGTATCTCCGATAGTTATTGGTCTTAATAACCTGATCCTGTATTGCACAGATAAAACCCTCGGTTTCCCCGAAGAGATCACCAAAGCGTAGCCAGTGGAGGGAGGCTACTGTGTCTACGAAAGGCTCATGTAGAGCCTTGTAGAACGTCCCGTGGAGCTCCTTCTACTTCCATAAGGTCTCCCGCTCGGAAATGCTCTGCACTGCCGGGTCTTGCCATTGCTCGTTGGCTAAGGATAGAGGGGTAAGTCCTTTATCACAAGAAATGACGTCCTAATAGAATGGATCATCCGATCTCGTCAGGAAGTAATCACGGAGGCTGCACACTTCGCTATTATGCATGGTGAGCGTGCTCAAGAAGCCACGACCACCATGCTTCCGCGACAAGTACAGCCTCATTACCTACGATCACGGATGATGCATCCTATGGGACGTCATTGTAGTGCGGACTTTTCTATCCAGGGCGTTAAGTTCAGTCTGAGTCCACCTGAGTATGCCAAAGGTATACATGAGGACAGGCATGACCCAGCCGCTATATGCGTGTGCCTTATTCACACCGGACAAAAGGCTGTTAAGCACTTTGGTCAAGCGTGCATAAAACACGTCGCAAACTGACTGTTTCATACCAGTCTCATCGATACCGATGTTTTGTGACATACCCAGGTATCGGTATGTTTCAGCCTCGGAAAGGGTTATTAAGTTGACGAGCATAGATAAGTCTATGCCCTCAGAGTTAGCAAACCTTCCCCTTTCAACAAGGAGGACCGCACACTTATCCATCCCAAGCTCCATTCCAATGGAATTGCTAAATTCACAAGTGATGTTTAGCAATTCCATAAGATGGGAGCGACTGGAGGCGAATAACTTGAGGTCATCCATATAGAAAAGGTGGGTCACTTTTGTCCCTCCTTTCCGTAGCTGAAATCCCCTCCCGGAGCCCTCCAGTAAGGTACTAAGAGGGTTCAGAGAGAGGCAGAACCAGATTGGACTCAGACAATCGCCCTGGAAGATACCCCTTCTTATCCTTATGTGGTTCTCCGCAGCCATCATCCGCTCGCCCAGATGACAAAGGATCGTACTCCACTGCCCCATACACTACTCTAGGAAGTCTCTAACGAGTCTATCTTGTACAGCTCGAGGACTCTCTTTAGCCATGTATGGGGCACCGAGTCGAATGCCTTTCTGTAGTCTATCCAGGCGGCGGAGAAGTTCCGACGGTTGCGTTTCACCACTTTGCCAATGACCGCGTCAATGAGGAGTGGTTCCTTGGTTCCAAGACCACCGCCCCGACATCCATTTTGAGCGCGCGACATCACCTGATTTGAGTCCAGGTGACAAGTGATTCTCGCGCTCAAAATGGATGTTAGTGTCTTGTATATGGTCGGTAGACACGTGATGGGGCGGTATTTGCTCGGGTCTGTGGTACCCTGGTCTTTAGGAACCAAATGAGTGATCCCAGTAGTGAAGAGGCTTGGGAGCGACTTCTGGTTGAGAGCCTCTTGAAACTGTCGGGCGAGCACAGAGTGACACACCATGAACCCCTTCAGCCAGTAGTGATGCAGCCCGTCAAGCCCCGGACTTATCCAGTTCGGGGCCCTACGGACCGCCTCAGCTACGTCATCCGGCGTTATGATGACGGGGTCCATGGGCGTAATACCCGCACACTGACTCTCCACAACTTCCGTCCAAGGGCCCTCGCTGTGGTTTACGGGCTCTGACCACAGGCCGCGCCAGAATGCTACAGTGTCGGCCTGATTCGGTGCTGGACCCGTTCCACTTACCATTGGTCGCTCCAATGATTCATAGAGCCTCTTCTGATCACTCTGGAAGAGACGATTCTGGTTGAACCGGGTCGACCTCTCGGTATATCGCCGAATCCGCTTTCCCCAAGCAGCGATTCTCTGCTTCAGATCATCTATGCGCTCCGTCAGTTTTTGCGTTATATCCGGCTGGGACAAACTGACATTAGTCCCAGCAAACGCCATCCTGACGGTGCGCACAATTCTTGGCCTGTTGTTGCCTGACCTAAAGCAGATCAGTCTGCCGATGAGAGCTCTAGCCTTTGCGATACGTTCCGCACTTCTTCTTCTCCATGCTGGGATAGCGCTACTATGGCCAGTAGCGCGTCCAGCCGTGGAAACCTTGGCGCCTATGATACGGCAGACTGCTAGCGCGGCGCCAAAAAGAATTGAGGAACGTATCGCAAAGGTCCGAGGTTTTAAAGGTTACCCGGCTGGCTTCGAAATAGGTCACCAGCATTGGGTTCAGAGCCCTCACGACAGCCCGATTCCGCTTGCTTAGGGCTATGCGGGGAAGTCGCGGTGGATTTTCGAGAGGCGTACTGCGCGTTTCCACAATCGCCTCTTCCAATGTACTCCTCATATGCTGTAATTCCAGTTCCTGGGCGACTGTTCCATCATCGTTTGAATCAACCACAACTGGGGTATTCAAGGCGGCATCCACGTTTGCGGGTTGCTCTACCATTTGTGGCGCCGCATCCTCAGCCGTAGCATTCTCATCCGACGAGGGAACAGCCTCACGTCGTAGCCGTTTGAGTTCGGCGACATCAAATATATTTGAGCGCAAGTTTTTTATTATTATTATTAATTTATTAGCAATTTATTATTATTATTATTAATAAATTCTAAATGAATTGTAGAATTTTTACACATCACGTACCTACTGAAAATTGATAAGAAATTTCTTGTATTAACATTGTTTACAATTAATATATTTTATCGTGTATGTGTAGCTTCTTTAACACTGTAACACAAGCATTACTTTTACAGTGTTGTTTTAGAATAATCAAGTAACCGTGTATTTTCTCACATGTTTTGAAATCTTGCCTGTTCTCAGATTTTGGGCGTTAATATTAATTTTACCTGACATCAAAAACAGTGAAGGGACAAATTTATTTATGAAGAATTAGGGTATTTGCGTCTTATTTTAGGTACAGTGTTGTCAGTGAATAAATGATATATGCAAAAGAAATACTATAAGATGCGTGTAAAAAGGCGTTATTAAGATTTCTTTAAAAGTTAATAATTTAATAAACAAATAAATTCTATTAATTAAAACTACTTTTACGGATTTAATCGCATTTATTTTTAATTTTAATTATTTTTATTTTTAATTCGCGATGTTTCGGGTGCTTTCCAGCACCCGTGGTCACAGGGGACTGAGGTGACTGACGTCCCGATGTCATTGTTAAACCCGGAGTACCTTCAGTTTTTTTTAATTATTGTTTATGGTCCGATCTATGCAAAGTGAACTGACTATGTCCTGAGGTCGTGCAGTGGTATGCTTGGGTTTAGTTTTAATTTTATTGATTATAGGGTCACAAGCAGGTGGTAGTAGCCAGCCTCCTTCTCTATTGAAATTAGGATGTTTTTTTAATTTCAATAGCCTCACGTATCATCCTTGGTAGGGATCGGCGTTATTTCGCGAGGATTTGTGGTCTATCAAATCTGATGTAATGGTTGGGGCCGTCTAGGATATGATCACAAACTGCAGACTTCCCGGAACGTTGATGATTCACATCAGCTATATGTTCTTTTACGTGGGTTTTAACTGATCTTTTTGTTTGTCCTATATAAGAAAGACCACATTCACAATCAAGCTTGTACACTCCTGCATCTTGTAGAGGAATATGACACTTGACAGATGGTAGGAACTGGCCAATCTTCTTCGGCGGCTTGTAGAATGTTCTAATAGAAGCTCGCTTCAAGATGTAGCCAATCTTGTCTGTGACACCTCTGACATATGGTAGTACAGCAGGCACACGCTCGACTGTGGCTGGCTTCACTCGGTCACTGTGACGTAGGCGCGGGACCCGAAGCTTGTTGTCGTGCAGAACTTGCTTAACGTGTTGAAGCTCGGCGGCCAGGTGTTTGCTGTCACAGATCCCTCGTGCTCTGTGTAACAAAGATTTTCCCACGGTAGCTAACTATGAAGGATGGTGGTGAGATTCACCATTTAAATATCGGTTTGAATGGGTCTTTTTTCTATACACAGTGTGACCTATGGTGTTGTTAGGATTTCGGATGATTAACACATCTAGGGGAAGGTAAGGAATTATTTGCCTATAACTCAAAACGTAAAATTGTGAAAGTATCGTCTACGTACCGCTTATAGGTCAAAACAGACCATACAACTAATACGCTTAAAACAACTATCTATCTACTACGATCACAACAACAACTATCGATCTAATTAAGAAATACTCCGAGAAATTGAATCTAGACGTTAATTCGATTCGGTTACCAAAAATACAAAAACCGAATGCTCCGTAACGTTCAATAGTGAGTCAAATTGATTCGCCAACTTACAGATTGGCTCAACACTTAGCTAAAATATTATCACCACTCAGAGGACACACAAGAGCACACACTAAGGATTTTTACCATTTTGTCAGTGAAATAAAAGACCTACGTCTACGTAAATGTACAAAAAATACATTTAGTCTTGATTTTATTAAAATCGGTTCATACTATCAAAAGTTATGATGAATATTCTGAACTGTGGGTACGAAATATAGATACGAATTTGTTCAATGATAGCGTTGAGTGATCGAGGGCATTTTTTAAATTAAATAATGTAAAGTAGTGGTCTTTAATGATATAATTATATCTAAATGCAGTAAACAAAAATAATAAAGAATAACGTAATAAATATTTATAAAAATATATAAACTCCAATATCTTAGCGAAAAAAGTACAATAGTTATCCAATGTCATCGATAGATGGTGTTGTGCAAATTATTTATTCAATTTCAAATAAGTAGGTTTGCTTATGATTTTTTTAACTACCAAATACCTACAATATGGTAAATCATTTATTTATTTTTATTTTTTTTATTTGCTTTTTTTATAGAAGAGGGGGCAAACGAGCATGCGGCTCACCTGATGTTAAGTGACTACCGCCGCCCATGATCAACCGCAACACCAGGGGAATTGCAGGTGCGTTGCCGGCCCTTTAGAAAGGAGTACGCTCTTTTCTTGAAGGTCCCCAGGTCGTATCGGTCCGGAAAAATCGCTGGTGGTAAACTATTCCACAGAGAGGTTGTACGCGGAAGAAAACTGCTCTTAAAACGTACAGTGGTGGACCGCCAAGCATCCAGATGATGTGGATGGTATCGCGAAGTTTGCCGCGTAGTGCGTTCACGAAATTTGGCGGCTGGGATTAATCCGAACAATTCCTCAGAGCACTCTCCACGGTATATGCGAAAGAAAATGCAAAGAGATGCAACATCTCTTCGCAGTGCCAGTGAATCGAGCCGATCGGAAAACACTCGGTCGTCGACGATTCAAGCCGCTCTGCGCTGGATGCGGTCAAGTGGAAGGAGCTGGTACTGGGGGAGCCCCAGCCCAGAGATGGGAACAGTATTCCACGTGCGGCCGAACCTGCGCCTTGTAAAGTTGCAGGCGGTGTGCCGGCATGAAATACTGTCCAGCTCTGCTGAGCACGCCAAGCTTTTTTAGAGGCCAATTTGGCCTTCTCTTCCAAGTAACCACGAAACTGCACGTCACTCGATATGTCGACGCCGAGGATTCCGATACTGGCTGAGACAAAGGGGTTCTTTTTAGCGGTTAACGCGCAAACTTGTGTCTTCTGGGGGTTAAACTGGACTAGATTTAGCAAAGACTCGACTTCAGACACAAGTTTGTCCCGGCACTCGGAGACGTTTTGCCGAGAAATATTGGCTCGGCCGGTGTAAAGAGCATCACCAGTGCTGTCATCCGCATAGCAATGAATGTTACGGGTTTGCAACATATCATTGATATGCAGAAGAAACATCGTTGGCGATAGCACGCAGTCTTGTGGAACACCAGCATTAATAGGCTTGCAATCGGAGCTTGCACCGTCACAACCTTGATGCCCCGATCTGCAAGAAAGCTGGTGATCCAATTGCACAATTTCTCGGGAAGCCCATAGGAAGGGAGCTTCGAAAGAAGCACTTTGTACCAAACCCGATCGAAGGCCTTCGCAATGTCCAAACTAACGGCCAATGCCTCCCCTTGGACTCTACTGCCTCCGCCCATCTGTGAGTTAGGTAGACCAAAAGATCACCAGCTGACCGACCACGGCGAAAACCGTATTGGCGGTCACTAATCAGCTGGTGATCCTCAAGGTACCTCATGAGCTGGCAGTTTACAATGGACTCCATTGTTTTGAAGAACAAGGAGGTGATGGCGATAGGCCGGTAGTTGGACGGGTCTGAGCGGTCGCCTTTTTTAGGGATCGGGTGGACGAAAGCCGTCTTCCATGATTTTGGGACTACGCCTAGGGAGTAGGAGTACCGGAAAAGACGCGTTAAAACCGGTGCCAACTCTGGAGCACACGTCCTCAGCACAATTGGGGGATTCCGTCAGGCCCACTCGACTTGTGGATGTCCAGGGGAGAGGAGTGCTTTGCGAACCGAGCGCTGTGTGAACTGCACTTCCGGCATGGAGCACTCACACCGCGAGATGGTCGGCGGCGTACTCCCCCCGTCATCGAGAGTCGAGTTGGACGCAAAGAAAGAGCCTAGAAGATCGGCTTTCTCCTTTGCGATATGGGCCAGTGAGTCGTCCTCCCTGTGCAGAGATGGAAAAGATGGCTGACAGAAATTCCCCTGGACAGCCTTGGCGAGAGACCAGAATGCACGGGTTCCAGAAGGAAGGCGGACTAGTTTCTCGCCAATTCTGCCTATGTGCTCTGACTTTGCCTTGGCAATGACTCTTTTGAAGGACCTAGAGGCGAAATTATACTTCTTTTTTATAGCGCTGGTGTTTACATCCCGGGACGCTGATGCGTCAGCCCAGGCTCGGTAGCACTCCTGCTTATAGCATGATGCTATTTTACAGGAGCGACCAAACCATGGCTGAGATTTGCCTCCAATGGGCACCACAGAGGAAGGAATAAAAAGTTCCATACCCTGAAGTACCACATCAGTGACAGAATCCGCAACAACGTTGGGATCGTCCGGCGAGAAGCAAACCCGCCCCCAAGGGTAGGATGCAAAGAAAGACCGCATCCCATCCCAATCGGCTGACCTATAGTGCCAAACACGGCGGCAGCCTGCAGATTGCAACTGCGATTTCAGCGTGAGTGGCACCACACTCCGAACAAGACAATGGTCCGAGGAGCCTAAAGGGGCGTCAACGGAAATCTGATATCCGTCCGGGTGAGAGGTCAGCAGAAGGTCCAACAGGGAAGGTGCATGATCCTCCACATCTGAAATCCGCGTAGGCGAAGTAACCAGTTGTGTCAGACCATATGCCAAGGCAAAATCATGAACAGATCTCCCCGCATGATCGGTTAAACGTGAACTAAGCCATTCGGCGTGATGGGCGTTAAAGTCGCCGAGGATCACGATCTCTGCGGAGGGGATCTGCTGTAGCAACGAATCTGTAGCCATTTGGACGTGGTCGAAGAGTCGGTCTGTTTCGGCATTACCGCTATGGGACCTATAGAGGCACCCGTAGACGCGCGGATGGTCCTCG